CGTCTTCTTCTTCTCTAGACATTTTTTAAAAAAATAAATATATTTATTTTTGAATTTATTTAAAATTTTTATTTTTTGTATGAAGAAAGTACATAAAATCCTATTTTTTATACCAGAAAATTTTAAAAGATTATTTTGATTTGATGCCATAACCTAAATAGGAATTTGGATATTTAATAAAATATCAATTTTTCAAATACAGTTTATCTAATGTCAATTTCCTTCTCCAAAGAAATGCAATTAATATATAATCATAATAATGATAATATCCTTAATATTAACAAAAGCGGCTTATCTAACCAATATCGCAAAAAAAAAAAAAATTATAATAAACTATAAATCATCCACAACGACGATTATGTATTAATTAGTGGTTATTATTAATTTTTGTTTTTGGAAAAAAAAATTTTTTTTTTAAATTTAGCTTTTTAAATCAATTTCAATCATAAACTTTTCCCACAGACAAAACGGAAAAATAACCGTTTTATTTTACTTTAATAATATTAGTATTATTATCATCCATCACTATTATTATGATTATTGTTTTTGTTATTATTGTTTTTTGTTTTTGTCATTGTTTTTGTTTTTGTTTGTTGGTTTACTCGAAACGCGTTTCTTATAAAAGCGCTTCTTTTTCCTATTCTTTTTGTAACGATACAATTACAATATAGGAATCCAACCCAATTGTCTGCTATGGAGGAAATATGTTTTAAAGCACTGAGTTGTTGTTTCAGTTTAATAGATATTTAATTTGCATATATAGGAGCACAGAGTCTATTGCTAAAAATTGGAATTTTTTTCTGAATTTGTTTAGTCATTCATTTTACTAACTTTTTTTTCATTAATTTTATTTAGGATGACAAGATGCCAAGGTCAAGGTCTAAACAGAAAAACATCAAGAAAATGTTGAACCTGGCGAGAGACAGGATTTCAGTTTTATAATTAATTTATATTATATCTTGATTTTCTAATTTATATTAGCGCTTGTGTCTGGAACATAAAATACTTCAAAACTGGAGTTTTTTAGTTCAATTACACACTACCACCTATAATTGTTGCAAATATTTCAACGGTTTGGCTAGGGTATTAGAAAATGGCCTGCTGAATATCAAAAAAAAAATAATAATAATTAGAGAATATAATCAAAGCATTTGGCTCAAGGCCAAGATAAATTTTTAAAAGATGCAAATGATGACAATCAATGATTATATTTAAAGAATAAAACATTTATTTGTTCATGATATTTTTGCTGCAACAATATATAAAAATATTTATTATTATTATAATTTATCTAGAGAAATATATACATTTGATTTTATATAATTTTATTTTAATATGGTTTTTATATTAATAATTAATAAATAAATATATATACAAATATTAAAATTCTTACTAAAATTTTTAATGTTTCAATTGTTTTACATCTTGTTCCAAAATCTTTTTAATCAAATCTTTAGAAGGATTTATTACATTACCACCTAAACGTTCGATTACTAATCTAGGTCTTGTACGATGAACATGATCATATATGCACTCCAATCCAGGTTTAATATCATCGAATTTTTGATTCCTCCCAAATTTTTCATCCCAAGCCTTTACCAACTGAAAACAAAAATCTGTCCCACATGTGCGTAACAAATTATCTCTACAATCCTGACACTGAATAAATAGTAAGTTGCAAGCCTTATTTCTACAATTTGTATATCTATCACATGGTTTTCCACATGTATGACACTGTGCAACAACATCATTGGTTATAGGTTCCCCAAGTCGTTTATCAAAAGTGAAATTTCTTCCTTTAAATAGGGAATTGATGGATGGATTTGATGCAATAAAACGTCCATAAGCTGTAATTCCACCTTTTAAGACATTAACGTGTTTAAAACCATTTGAAATAAGTATGGAACCAGCTTTTGAACATCTAATGCCACCTATTAAGATATAATAACGTGTATAAGTAAATGAACATAATAATTCTATGAAGTGCATGTATACAATGTTTGATCATAATCAAATTAGAGACACACCAGTACAGTACATGTAAATTTCATGATTTTGTTTGCCCTTGCATATTTCATTCATTACAATAATGCTATCACGAAAAGTGTCTACGTCAGGTTTTATAGAGCTTTCAAAATAACCAATTTCACTAATTAAAAAATAATTATAGTTCTAATTATTCTTATTTCTAAACAATGTGAGTTTAAAAGATATTGAATGAAAGACAGATTCAAAGTCTCTCACCTTTCATAATGATTTCTCATATCTATAAGAATTGATGATTTCTCGGCATTGGTTAAACTGAAATGCCACTCTTCTGGTTCCAAATGCTTTGGTTGTTTGGATAAATCAAAAGAACCTGATTCTAATCCATCTGCAACAATCTATATAAAATATACAAAAATTTTTTTAGTGAATCTGTAAAAAAATTTTTTATTTATTTGAATAATAGCCCACCTGTTTCCTAATTTTAACATTCAATTTCCTAAATGCTTTTTCATGTAATGTTGCATAATTAAACTCTATAGTTTTTAAATTCATTTCTTCATCACAAAATTTTCTTAATTTATTTAATTTGTCTTTTGGACATGATATTTGAGCATTTATCCCTTCGCTAGCAACATAAATCCTTCCTAAAATACCCAATTCGGTTAAATTTGTTAAAAGTTTTTCGCGTAAAATATTAAGAGAATTTTCGGGAAAAGAAGTAAAAGAGTAAAACGAAAGTGTTATCCAATCAACAATTGGTTCCTCCTTGATAATTTCAGGATTTTTTGTAGTATAATAACGAATATAGGAATAATAATCTGAGGAATCACGGTTAAACTTTAGATTATTTTTTTCAATGGAAGATCTTAAATTTTTTTGTTTCTCTTGAAAGAACAGGATTTTAAATTTTGGCGAAAGTCGGTTTGAAAATTGGTTTAATTTAATTATATTTTTTGGTAATGAATTTTTTAACACTATTAAAGAGTTTTGTGTAAAGGCAGCAGTATGTGGTTTTTTTAATAATCTAGAAACAAGAATATTATTGTACATTTCCTCTAAAAAAAAAAGCAGATTTATAGATTGGTGTTGGCCGCACTTTTATTGGTTGTGTAGATCCTTTAATTCCTCCAAAAACGGAAATGGGTATTAATATTATGTAACGCGGCAAATTTTCTTCCTTTTGTGTGTGTTAATATAGTAATAGTAATAGTAATAGGATAATTTTCAGACCGTTATACACCGTAGAAAATTTAATTAAGAGATCCGTTATAGAGTAAGATTTTTTAAATAGTAAAAAATCTGGATTTAATTCTCAGTTCGTTATAGAGTGAAGGCCATTATAGAGAGAGTTAACCGTACATGTATTAATTGATAGATAGTAGTGACAATGTCCGCTTGCGTCCGTTCAATATAATAATAAAATATATTTTGTGCGCACACAATGCATCCTACACGTACAAACAAGAGTTTGTTTTTCAAATTTGTCTGATCTAGCTGTCAAAGTGTTATTATTGAAGAAAATTCATAGATCCTGTAATCACCAAAAGAATGAAAACATAGTTTGAATACTGTGATAATTGATGACTAGAATTGTTAGTTAAAGTGTATAGTTAAAGCTCTAAATGAGCCTAGTCTGGCCAAGTTTATGCATAGCTTGTGCCAACTTGAAATTTAATTTTGCAGACCACTGAAAATAATCGAGTTGTATAACATGTTGAACACATATATATATGCATTACACGTGAGATTCTATCAGAGCATCTGATCCTCTTCATTGGATTCTTTTTCTTTTTCTGTCAAAAATTTTTTTATCAGAATGTAAATCAGTTTTTCTATTATATTAATAGTGTTGCTAATGCTAATAATCCAGTGATTTTATCATAAAGATTATTTATTTAACTAGAATAGCTTTCAAAAATAATTTTGTTACAGCCATAGTAGATCTGATACCACAAGATAACAGCCAATGATTTTTAAAAAATATATAATGTAACACAAATTCGCACTCGATTTCATACACCGAGTACAACGTTCAGTATGCCCATTTATTAAAGATTTTAATATGGGTTTGATAAGGCAACAACGTTATGCTGTTGGTATTTTAACATTGTTTAGTGTGGTATTGATATGGGTTGGCTCTTCTTTTTTAGTGAATGTAGGAAAAAGTATTAATTAATCAATTAAAAAATTTTTTTAATTCTTTTTTATGTAGAGTAATAAATATAACGAACTAATCAATCTTTTAGAATATCTTTGACGAACGACAATATAATAAACCGTTTGCCATAACATATATTAACACATCCTCATTTTCACTCTATATATTATTCTTTATTTTTAAATCTAAAAAACTTGTTAATGAACAAAAGTATGATTTTAATTAAAATCAATTAATTGATTATGGAATTTGATACATTTATAAAGTGAAATTTAAAGACTTTTTTACACATAATTTGATATTTATTTACAACAACCATTAGAAATGAAGATACATTATACGAAACACTTCCTAGATCATCAACTGATTCTACAAACTCTAATCATGATGATGATATATCAAAAGTAAATCAACATTTATTCTTCATTACTCTCTCTACTTATTTTATTTATTTATTTATTAAATTAAACAATATCTTTTGATTTATTTTAGATAGATCAAGGTAATAAATAATATAACAGCATTGAAATTTCACATGTTGATAATAATAATAACAGTAATAACAATTCAAATTATCTACATATTAATCAATTTTCACAAAATAATCAATATTCTTTTCATATCAATCCAAATATTCATTTATGTTGAAGAAGAATTAACAATTCGTGAGGTTTTGTCACTATATATTTTTATATTTATATTTATATGATTTGTATCATATTTGAACTCACAAATTATCATTATTTGAATTAGGTTGCAAAATTAGGATTTACATTTTGTATAATATGGTTTGCAGGTAATAAAATTATTTCTTGTCAAGGAAAACATAATAATAATTTTTTTTTTAAAAAAGATTAAAAGTATTCAAAAAAATATCCAATAACAGCAAATTGGTGCACTAATGCTTCTCTTGCTTATACAAATGTTGCCAGTAGTACAATTTTATCATCAATGTCATGTCAGTATTATTATTAATAAATAATCTACTTTTTTTTTTAAAAAAATATTTCTAAATTTAAAAATTATTATAATTAGGTTTTTTTACCTTGGTAATTGGAACACTTTTTGGCATTGAAAAATTTTCTTTGATAAAACTTGTAGCAGTTTGTGTTAGGTAATAATGATAATGATATTTAACATCAATAAAAGAAAATAGGTTTTTAACATACACTTTTATAAAATTTAATTAGTGTTATTGGAGTGATTTTAATTTCTACTAGAGATACAGCTGGTTCACCACAAGATCAACCTATAAAACCTTTAATTGGTGACAGTCTTGCTTTAATCGGGGCAATTTTCTATGGGTGTTACACGGTCTTGTTAAAATTACGTATTCAGAATGAATCACGTGTTGATATGCCATTATTTTTTGGATTTGTTGGTTTATTCAATGTGATATTACTTTGGCCAGGATTTTTTCTGCTTGATATTCTGGAAATTGAAAAACTTCAACTCCCTCCAAACGGAACAATTTGGACAATGGTTATAATTAACGCACTGATAGGTACTTTTTTGTCTGATTATCTTTGGCTATTATCCATGCTCATGACTTCTCCATTAGTAGTCACATTGGGATTATCACTGGCAATACCTTTAGCTTTAATTGGTGACATATTTTTTAAAGGTATTGTTGCGGATGAAGGTTATTGGTTAGGTGCATTGATGATTTTAGGTGGTTTTCTTGCTGTTAATTTCGTTGCACTAAAAGAAAACCAATCATCATCTTCATCATCATCAACATCATCACCAGTATCACCATCATCATCAACTGTACCAACACCATCATCAAATCTATAATACTTTCAAATGATGGATGATAAATGATTTAAATTTTTTTAATTTATATATCACATTGATGTACTTGTTTGCCTTAAACAAATTGATCATTCGTGCATACCAAAATAAAAATAAATGGTATTTTTTTTAGATTAAAAAAAAGGAAAAGGGAAAACGATTGAAATATGAGGTTTCTTTCTGCTTTTGATACTTTTATAAAGATTAGAGGATCTGCATGATAATATTTTGGGCAATTTTGTTATTAAAAATTATTCTAAACACGTAATTTATTTAAATGAAAGAATTTAAAACTATTCGTTCGGTTGAAAATGCGCTAAAAAGTGGTACAGGAGCCATGCTATTCACTCAACCAGTAAATGTAAACCGAGTAAATACAGTGTTGGTCGCCCAAATGGCTCAGATGAGGAAAGTCTCCAATCATTGGTGGTGAAAGTATGAGAAAATAAGTATTAGTATAGTGTCCATTATGCTATTAGAAAGAACACGTAGCTAAGGATTGTTCTAATAGAAGTATAAACCAAGTTAATGTAATAATAACACTTTGGGAATTCGGTTCGCAGCCAGAGTTTGATTGGTGGTCGATGAAGCAGTTTAATCTTGTCGTCTTGACATAATTGATACATCACGATACAAGTATTGATAAATTTCAGGGAAACCTACTATTATACCCCGACTGGGTTTAAAACGGATTGTGTAATGAGTCATTTTTGTTTCTCTCAAATTATTTTAAGCATAACACTGGGTCATGCACCGGGAGGGTGGGCCCGCCAAGGCTTATATGTCACTCAGGGATAACTAACTATAGTTGCCTTTCTAAACTTTCTAACCTATTTTTGAGACCTGAAACTCCTAAACCATTTTCGAAACCATTTTCGAAATTTCTAACTGATTTTTATAACTTGAAATCGTGGATATTGTTTTTTGTTGTTGTCAAATTCACAACTCAATAAATTTTTAAAGCAAGTCTTTAATAAAACCGAAAATAAACTACCTTATATATTTATATATTAATATATAATATTTTGTGTGTGATACATATTTGTGGCTTTTAGAAAAAAATTTTTTTGACAAATTATACACCACAAATAATTTTTAAAGATGAAAAACACTTTAGACGAAAATAAACATCATGACAATACTTCTACTGACAAAAATGATGGTGATAAATATTCATATAAAAGAAATAAATGTTATGGGGAATGTCCAACCTGCAATAGATATAATACTGACTGGGTATGGTGTCAATCATGTGATCCAAAGTTATTAACTGAAGGATGGACTAGTGGCAATGAAACATTAGATGAATTGATTAAAAGTACACAACTTAAAGCAACTACATATCATTATAGTAATCATCTTCAATGGATTCCTTATAATGATTTAACAAATATTGAAAAGATAGGTGAAGGTGGTTTTGCAACTATATACAAAGCTACTTGGTTAAATGGTTATAAAACTGTAAATGATGATAATGAAAGAACTAGAAAAGATAGGACTGTAGCACTAAAAAAACTACATAATTCACAGAATATTTCAGATGAGTTTCTTACTGAGGTAAATTATTTATTTTTCTGTTTATTTTCAGATTTTTTAATCTTATCCTGAATTTAATATATTTTTTTTATATAGTTTAGAAATTATGTTACATTTCATGGTAAATCATTTATAAATAAAATTTATGGGTTAACACAAGATCTGGCTACAAAAGAGTATATCTTTATAATGGAATACATGAAAGATAGAAGTCTTCAAGATTATGAAGATCAATATTCAAAGGAAAGAAGAGAATATTGTGGGAAATGTCCAACATGCAATAGATATAATACTGATTATTTATGGTGTCGATCATGTGATCCAAAATTGTTAACTGAAGGGTGGACTAGTGGCAATGAAACATTAGATGAGTTGATTAAAAACACACAACTTAAAGCAACCAAGTATCATTATAGTAATCATCTTCAATGGATTCCTTATAATGATTTAATAAATATTGAAAAGATGGGTGAAAGTAGTTTTACAACTATATCTAAAGCTACTTGGTTAAATGGTTATAAAAGTATAAATTATTATAAAAATGAAAGAACCAGTAAAGATATGCCTGTGGCATTAAAAAAATTACATAATTCACAGAATATTTTTGATGAATTTCATAATAAGGTGAATTATTTTATTTCTTTGTTTATTTTCAGATTTTTTAAATATTATTTAATTATGATTAAATATTTTATTTGTTATTTTAGCTCAAACATTATACAAAGTTCCATGATAAAGTATATATTTATGGGTTAACACAAGATCCAACCACAAAAGGATATATATATGTAATGCATTACATGGAAGATGGAAGTCTTCAAATTGATGAATATTTAAAACAAAGAAATGAAAAAAAAGGGGAATGTCCAATATGCTATAGATATAATACTGATTATTCATGGTGTCAATCATGTGATCCAAAATTATTAACTGAAGGATGGACTAGTGGTAATAAAACATTAGATGAGTTGATTAAAAGTACACAACTTAAAGCAACAGAATATAATAATCATTATTATCTTCAATGGATTCCTTATGATGATTTAACAAATATTGAAAAGATAGGTGAAGGTGATTTTGCAACTATATACAAAGCTACTTGGTTAAGTGGTTTGAAATATATAGATGGTGGTGAAGATATGACTGTAGCACTAAAAAAACTACATAATTCACAGAATATTTTTGATGAATTTCTTGATGAGGTAAATTATTTTTTTTTTCTATTAATTTCAGATTTTTAAATGTTATTGTTCTGAAATTTGATATATATTTTATATAGTTTAGAAATTATGTTACATTTCATGGTAAATCACTTATAAATAAAATTTATGGGTTAACACAATATCTAATTACAAAAGAATATATCTTTGTAATGAAATACATGAAAGATAGAAGTCTTCAAGATTATGAAGATCAATATTCAAAGGAAAGAAAGGAATATTATGGGGAGTGTCCAACCTGCAATAGATATAATACTTATTATTCATGGTGTCAATCATGCAATCCAAAATTATTAACTGAAGGATGGACTAGTGGCAATCAAACATTAGATGAGTTGATTAAAAGTACACAACTTAAAGCAACATTTTATCATTATAGTAATCATCTTCAATGGGTTCCTTATAATGATTTAAGAAATATTGAAAAGATAGGTGAAGGTGAATTTGCAACTATATCCAAAGCTACTTGGTTAAATGGTTATAAAAGTATAAATGATAATAATGAAAGAACCAGTAAAGATATGCCTGTGGCATTAAAAAAATTACACAATTCACAGAATATTTCTGATGAATTTCTTAACAAGGCAAATTATTTTATTTTTATTTATTTTCAGATTTTTTAAATATTGTTTATTATTGTTGTAATTAAATATTTTATTTGTTATTTTAGCTTGAAAATTATACAAAGCTTCGTGATAAAGTTTATATTTATGGATTAACACAAGATCCAACTACAAAAGAATATATCTCTGTAATGCATTACATGGAAGATGGAAGTCTTCAAAATGATGAATATTCAAAGAAAAGAAAGGAACATTTTGGGGAATGTCCAACCTGCAATAAATATAATACTAATAGTTTATGGTGTCAATCATGTGATCCAAAGCTATTAACTGAAGGGTGGACTAGTGGCAATGAAACATTGGATAGGTTGATTAAAAGCACTCAACGTAAAGCAAAAAATTATGATAATAATTATTATCTTCAATGGATTACTTACAACAATCTAACAAATATTGAAAAGATAGGTGAAAGTAGTGTTGCAACTATATACAAAGCTACTTGGTTAAATGGTAAGAAATGTGTAAATAACCATTATAAAAGAATTAGCAAGAATATGACTGTGGCATTAAAAAAATTACATGATTCACAGAACATTTTTGATGAATTTCTTAATGAGGTAAAATAACTTTGCTTTTCTATTACTTTCTGATTTTTTAAATATTATTCTGAAATAATTTTAGTTCAGAAATTATGTTACATTTTATGGTGAATCATTTATAAATAAAATTTATGGATTAACACAAGATCCAGATACAAAAAAATATATTTTTGTAATGGATTATATAGAAGATGGAAGTCTTCAAGATTATGAAGATCCATATAAAAGATATGAAAAATATGGGAAATGTCCAATCTGCGATAAGTATAATACTGATTGGACATGGTGTCAATCATGCAATCCAAAGCTATTAACTGAAGGATGGACCAGTGGCAATGAAACATTAGATGAATTGATTAAAAGTACACAACTTAAAGCAACTCAATATTATAATTATTATTATCTTCAATGGATTCCTTATAATGATTTAAGAAATCTTGAAAAGATAGATGAAGGTGGGTTTGCAACTATATCCAAAGCTACTTGGCTAAAGGGCAAGAAAAGTCTAAATGATGATGATAATAAAAGAATTAGTAAAGACAGAATTGTGGCATTAAAAAAATTACATAATTCACAGAATATTTCTGATGAATTTCTTAATGAGGTAAATTATTTTATTAATACTAGTTTTAAAATATTGTTGTTTATTATTGTTGCAATTAAGCATCTTATTTGTTGTTTAGTTTAAAAATTATATGAAGTTTCATGATAAAAGAGATATAATTCATATTTATGGATTAACACAAGATCCAATTACAAAAGAATATATATTTGTAATGGCATATATGGAAGATGGAAACCTTCAAACTTATTTAACTAAAAATTTTAAAAATTTCAAATGGAGAGACAAAATTGAAATTCTTTATTTTATTATTAAAGGTTTAAAAAATATTCATGAAAAAGCAATTATTCATCATGATCTTCATAGTGGAAATATTCTTCAAGATATATGGGGTTCATGGATTGCAGATTTAGGATTATCATGCCCAGTTAGTCAAACATCATCAAACAAAAATGACATATGTGGAGTACTACCATATATTGCACCAGAAGTTTTAAAAGGGAAACCATATACAATGGCATCAGATGTATACAGTTTTGGAGTTCTGATGTCTGTAGTATCAACTGGCCAACAACCATTTAATAATTTGGCACATGATATAAATCTTGCAATGAAAATATGTGGAGGTGCAAGACCTGGATTCTCTAACAACACTCCAAGATTCTATATTGAACTAGCATTCAAATGCATGGATGCTAATCCAGATAAACGCCCAACTGCTAAAGAGATTTTTAAGATTATTGAAACTTGGTGGGATTCACTTGCAAAAATACAGCAGCAGGATAAATTAATTAGAAAAGAGTTTAAAAAAATGGATAAAATAAAATTTGATCCTTCAACAATTACTACAGTAATTCATCCAGATGCAGTTTATACTAGCAGATTATTAGAATTTACAAACCTTCCTCAACCTGTGAATTCCAATAAAGTAACAATTATTGGTAATAATAATG